CATACGCTCCCCTCTCTCCCAGCAACGACCAAATTCGATTCCCGCCCCTCCCCAGCGGCCAAGTATGACATCCCCCTATCCATTTCACAGTTTCACACAACGCTGCTGTACCCTGTCTCGACCAATACCACCTAAAATCGTCGTCATTAGCGGGCGCGACGTCGCACGCGACGCCTCACTGGCGCGGCGAATTACGATTCTCTTGCCGCATACCCGTTCTTGAGCACTAAACAACTACACATAATTCACTGCTATAGATTTTTTTTGGAATTGAATGTCTCAAGACTACTGATAATTTTAATGAAATGCTTATTTCAGAATATTTTGGCTCAGAATGAGGAGAACATGCAAGTGATGGAATTGTTCAAGAATTGGGAAGTGGATCCATTCGTGAAAGAGCTGTGTATGAAACGGGCCTGAGATCATGATATGATTCGCCACATCTCTTACCTCTCATCAATCTACCTTCCCATTTACGCTACTGATGAAGTACTGTATCTGGATGATCTCTGAACAGCTACAGTTTCACGCTCCTTCCGTGCTAGTAGTGCGTTCGAAATCTCGTCAGGTCAAAACTGTTTCAAGTTGTCGTTCTTCCTCGTTTTCCTTCGATAGAACTACCTGGAGACGATTTAGCTGAGTTCCATATATGTAAATCATTTAGAAGGATACAGATAATAGTCTGTTTAGTAGTTCATCCTGAAATTCCGAATTCTTAAAGAGTTCTGTTCTAGTAATTCAGGCTAATATCACGTATTCCAGTTACATTGTAATGACCTTACCGGTAGAGTCGTTCTCGCAATCCCGTTGAACAAGACCCGATTAACATTGAGGTTGTCTGGTTTAGGTAGGGTGCAATACCATCATTCTGTGTATCGGGACGTTTTGGGACCGTAGTGTGGTGGGAAATTCGAGGATCCGACGAAATGTAGGTCTGGCGAACAGTGGAATCAATTCAGGGGCTAGGTGACGAAGTGTTTGAAGTCGCACTCAATAGATTTGTGGCACAGGTCGAAGTTCCATGAAGTTCTTATCTGTCCTCTATAAGCTTTTGTCATATTTATCGCTTCAGGGTTATAACCAATCTCAGGCTGCGTTCTTTTCCGCGTATGTGAGCTGGTCATGTACTGCGGCATGTTTCGTGATTGGTTGTCTTACGATGCCTACCATTCACGAACCTTCCTTGCACGCATCGCATGCCTCCAGTTCATCTCTCCCATTAGTTAGCGACTTCCAGTGAATGCGACTGTATTGTCGTAGGCTATTCCTTCCAGAAAAAAGTGCGTAGTGATTATTTTCTGGACGTGGGAGATGACTTCTGTATCTGACTTGTAAGTAGTCCAATGACGGATACATAGACGCTTCAGGGATTTAGCAACGGAGCACCAGTATATATGCACACATCTATGTAATAATAAGTTTCTATATTATATATATACCGTTGTGACCAGGTATTGATTTATTGATTAGCAAAATTAACTATCATTCATCATCAAGCGGACGTTTACGGTACAATTCCGAGTGTATTTTCGCTTCTTGGCAGTATATCTAGTGTTAATCTGATAGTTAGCGGTATAGAGATAAGTTAGTATTATTGATCTACTGTTTAGGCCAGTTTCATAGCTTTGTATCGTTACTTCCGAAGCATAAACTTATTACGCGGCAAGTCTTTCGCCGCGCATCTCGCCTAGCGGACTGAACTACCGCACGCGATTGCAACGCGCGATAATCGCGTGCGGTGGTTTGCGCCGTAAGTTTCAGAAGTAATGACCACTGCCAACCCCCCCCCAACCCCTCCATGTAGATCCATAGATGCATGCCTTTATATTTTCCCGGCGAATATCCAATAACTGTTCGGAACCGTTTTGCTTTTGTTGTGCCAACTTGTCTGTCACCAGTACCGGTAATCGTATTATACACTTTTTTGTTGACTAAACGTGGCATTGATAGATTCTAAGGTTTTGCATCATTTCCTGTGTGTATGTGTGCAATTTTCGTTGTGAAATGTTCGACATATATATAGTTGTAATCAGTTTTTCTACAGCACTCGGTGATCAAAGCCCACTCCCCTATCCCAGTATACCTTCGATCGATATTGATTCGATATCGTTCTACCTCTGTTATGTACCTTATCAGTACGTTTTATTGTGTTTATTGTTCAGTCACAATGATATTTCTTTGTGATCTGTTGACGGTTTTTCCGCCGATGTACAAATGAAGATTTCACTCTTTTCTTCTGAAGCGGCTATTACTGAGTTAACGTTTGACAATGAATTTACACTTGCACAAAGGTCGTGCCGAGCTACAACTTCTGCCTACAATGGTACTCCGGGAATGTTAGTTGCAAAGTGCAATAGAGGAACCCTCGCGGCGCCGCGTCTATGTCCCTTCCTCAGGCAGCGTTCATAATTCGCGACAGCAGCGGCGATCGTCGGTACATGGCAGAGCGCGCCCCAACGCTATTACTTGGACCGCTCCGAAGGCTTTTGGGGAGAAGCGACTCAATTTCATGCTTTTTTTCCTTTAACTGCAATTTTCTTAGGTACTGAAGCTTGGTTTGACACAAAGAAAGGTGAACCCAACTTAATGGCTTTTGTTTTCTATTTTCTTTCTTGATTCAGGATAGAAATGAGCAAAAAGCGTGAGAGCTTCATTTAGGGTATCCCGACCTAAAAAGAAGTGAAACCTCCTTACCTCATATTCCAGATCCGCTTATGTATAGAAAGTCGTAAGTTATCAGTAGCCATTATTAAGAGAAAAGAAGGTCTCACAAGTTGGATTCCCTTATTTATCAAGCGAGCTTTTCTGCACTTTGCAGAATAGTACAAAAATTCGAATATCTTCTGGTGAATCGCGATGAATCAATTTTTCATTTCGGTGGATTCCTTTCTTAAGACTCATAAAAACGCCTAGTCATAGCCTAATTTCAAATGTCATGTTTTGTCTTCCCTTCGCAATATGAAGTTTCTGGGTGTGTGGTGATTCTATCGTCGGGTCGTCGCGCCGGTGGGCGGAGCGAGGCGGCGTGGCGGCCGCCGCGTACGAGTTTTGTTGCGTGGCGTTCAAATTGTTAAAGGGTCGACGATCCCTTTAACAATTTGAAAGAGGCACAGCTTGCTGTGGCCGTTGCTCCAATGACAACTCGGGAGTACGGTAATGCAACTCCGGGATTGCCGCGTCGCGGCGTGCCGCGCAGCGACGCGGCGCGGCGTGTGCGGCGTCGCCTGACTTGCCGACGATAGAATCGCCCGGGTGCCGAAGTTTCTGTCCGTATATAAGCCCTTCGTATAATAGCATCGATGGTGTCCTACCTACAGTCCGAATGAATAAATCTTGGTCGAAGATTTGATTCGGAAACACGAGCGGTCCATAATTGGGCGCGCTCTGCCACGTACCGACGATCGCGGCGATCGCCGAGGTCACCGCTGCTGTCGCGAAGTATGAACGCTGTTTCAAGGGTCGAGCATCACGCCACGGAAAATTGCCCGGTCGGCACGACCATTTTTAGAAGAAGTGTCCATACCATCGCTTTTCCGCCCCTATAGAGAGGTGTTTGCTCTCGTTTGCCCGATTTGTGCGGCTGCGTCGCGAGGCATGAGAATGAG